GCATGCCTGTAGTCCCAGCTACTCGGGAGGCTGAGGCAGAAGGATTGCTTGAGCCCAGGAGTTTGAGGTTGCTGTGAGCTAGGGTGATGCCACGGCACTCATTCTAGACCGGACAACACAGTGAGACTCTGCCTAAAAAAAAAAAAATGTATTTGCAAAATTAAACACATCAGCTAATATTTAAATACCCAACTAAAAAATGGATATATGGAACGAAGGCAATTAAACAAAAGATTATAACAAGGATTCTGATGGTTGATGATAGGTTTGTTTTCCAGACAGTAACAGCAGATGTTTCAATCTGGGGGTTTAAATCTGCCACTTGATATTTTTCCATATGTATCCCATTTATTTTTTTTCCCTCTCTGAGTTTTACTGAAGCATTTAATACGTAGAGTACCAAATATGCATACCAACATAGTACAGGACTAATGTTTACCTTTCAGGGTTTCTTTTCAAAAGTAGGATTCTAATGAACTTGCCTAATAACATGTCCTTCTCCTCACAGACCCCCAAATCTTAATGTAATTTATCGGTAAAATAAGGAGAGAAGAAGAGTATGAAGTGATATTATTTTTCTAGAGTTGGAACAATGTAACCCAGAACATCATTGACCCACTTGACAGATAGTTGTCAGTCTCTGAATAGAAGCACTCTCCCTATAGAGCAGTTTCTGAATGATTGATACAAGCAAGATGAAGAGATGGGAATTCTATTTGTATTTTTTATGCCCCCCCCATATTTGCATTTTTGATTATAGATTTAGTTGACTGAAATAGGAAAGTAAAATTTGGATTCATGGAAGACTACTTCTTCCAATAATTTTCAACTTTTCACTATTTGATATATGTGAAAATCAATGTGTTATCATGTATATAGGATGGTAACTCTAACGACAGGGTTGTATTTTGATTTCTTTTAGCAGCGTGCTGGATTCACCTAAAGGCTATATTATCTTCCTGGTTGTCTTTGCATTTTGGGTTAGAGAACTTTTTGTTAGACTCAGTCTGATTAAATTCCCATTCACTGTTTGCTAAAGTCATTAAGGTATGCTAGAATATAAATAAAAGTCAACTAGTAGCTCTTAGACCTCTTGAATTTTCAGTTCCCAAAATATGTCCCCCCCCAAATTGGAGGATAAACATCAGGTTGACATATCTTTATTTTATCAAGTACAGACATGAAAAAAAAATCCAGCTGCCAATAACTGTCACCATCATCTGATGAAACAAAGGGCATTTTAAGTCAAAGAAGCAGGAAAAATGTAGTTTAAAATAAGAGTCAGTAATTCTCAAGAAAGAACAGGTTCCATGTTGTATGGAAATTTGTATGTGTGCAATGTGTACTGTGTTGTCCACTAAGGAAATAAATAATAATGCCTCTTTCTGCCATGGAATTAAAAAAGTTTGTTGCTGACCAGCGTTTAGGAATAACCGATGTAAACAGAATAGCTGACTAGTTACTTTAATTTTTGTTGTTTGGTTGTTCTGGCAGCTTATAATCACAAACTTAGATTTGGGGGTGGGAAACCTGCTGCCTTAGGCAACTTGTGGCCTTCTAGGTCTGTAAGTGCGGCCTTTGGACTGAATCCAAATGTTACACAACAAATCCTTTTTTTAAAAGGGAGAGAAAGATGAAGCTTTTCTTCCCTCCTTTGGTGCTTAAAAAAGAACAATCGTGAAATCAGAAGGCCACAGGTTCCCCACCCCTACTAGGGAAAAGCCCTGCTTTTAAATTTTATTTCCTCGTGCATATAACTTTAATGAAGTACAATCTCTCAACCCTTTGGCTTCACCTAATCTGTAAGAAGATGTTCTGACAGTTTTACTAACCCCTTTTTATTGTTAGGAATGAAAGAATACACCCTTTGTGTTAAGTGAGGGTAGATTTCAAAATTGGCTTAAGTTTCTTGGTATAAAAATGTATTTACAGAATAAAAGACTTATTTAGCAAAACTTAATATTTTCCCACTTTCATTTACAACCTCACTGTTTTTATTCTACCTTGGATTCTTACCAGTAGAGGTATGAATTCTGGGAGGCACCTAAACCTTTTGGTGTCTTATTTCTTTCTAATTTCTACACTTTTGGGTTAGTGACCCAGTGTGACCTGTCAGTAGGCTTGTTTCTACCCTCTAAAAGCACTCTGATTTGGAATCTTATGTGCATCAACAAAGGATGTATTTCTTGTTGAAGTTCTATTATTATTAAAATTATAACTCTTGTTCATTGAAATTTCCCACAAATCATTGGAAATTCAACAGTCTTTTATAGAATTTTCTGGCCTCTGTTTTTGGAAAAAACTGGCAATGGGTTTCTCTTATGTACTGTGCTTGAAAGGAACTCATATAGTGGTTCTGTAGAAAAATAGAGTTTTCCACTTTAGAAAAGATAAAAATCTTTTGAGTTCTTTTTACCATTTAATCAGTAGCCCTGATTTGGATAATATATTGATTTTTCCTCTAGGCAGAAAAGGCATACCCTGAAGAGGCTTCAGTAAACATCCAGGGATTAGTGTGAGGATTTGGAAAGTCTACAAACAGGGTTGGGCTCACTTCCAGAGGAAGGCGTTGCAGGTCCTCCTAAGGCTAACCTAAGGATGATTAAAAACTCAGCAGCTCTTTTCTAGATCAGACCAGACTACTGACTTCTTCCTGGGCAGGGAACTCATCAGTAACTTACATGATTTCCTAAACTATTTCTTACCACTTTTCTTAGTTGATTTCTTGAGGCTAATTTAAGTCTATGAGGCCAGGCAAAGTGGCTCTCAACTGTAATCCTAGCAGTTTGGAAGGCCAAGATGGAAGGATTGCTTGAGCCCAGGAGTTCAAAACCAGCCTGCACAACATAGCCAGACCCCGTCTCTACAAAAAAAAAAATTAGCTGGACATGGCAGTACTCCCCCGTAGTCCCAGCTACTTGGGATGCTGAGGTAGGAGGATTACTTGAACCCAGGAGTGAGGAGTTCAAGGCTTCAGTAAGCTATGATGATGCCACTGCACTCCAGCCTGCGTGACAGAGTAAGACCCTGACTCTAAAAAAACAAATATTTTAAAAAATAAGAAATTCTGGGAGTATGATGGCTCACACCTGTAATCCTAGCACTTTGGGAGGCCAAGGCAGGAGGATTGCTTGAAGCCAGTTCAAGACCAGCCTGAGCAACACAGTGAGACTGCTGTCTCTGCTAAAAATAAAAATAAAAATAAAAATTAGCCAGGTGTGATAGCACACCTCTAGTCCCAGCTACTCTCAGGAGACTGAGACAGGACGATCGCTTGAGCCCAGGAGTTTGAGGTTTCAGTGAGCTCTGATGACCCCTGCTGCACTCTAGCCCAGACAATAGAAAAAACCCTATCTGAAAAAATAAAAACAAAAAACCGGAAAATCTTATGAGACTCTATTCTTTCTTTTTGATAAATCTACTTGTTCATATGGGCAGACAGTATTATTTAAGGTGATGATTCTAAAGCAATGACAGTCCAGGCTTGTTATTTATAGTCATGACAAATAAAAAATAAATGCTTAATTTTTTCTCCCCTCTTGAAATAGAAAAGAACGCCCTATATCATTAGGAATTTTCCCATTACCTGCTGGAGATGGATTGCTTACACCTGACACTCAGAAAGGAGGCGAGACACCTGGATCAGAGCAGTGGAAATTTCAGGAATTAAGTCAACCACGTTCTCATACCAGCCTGAAGGTAAACTTTATTCTGCCGAAATTGTCAATTTATATTTTATTATAAGTTTTCTTATTCTAATTGAAGTACTAGACAACCAAAGCATAATAAAATGTAATAGTTTATATTCATTTTAGTTTGTAAAATTGGTGTCTTTTTTTAAATTGGAAATGAGCTCTCCCAAAGAGTATTATTTTTTTACTGTTGTATTTCAAGTTACATGGGAAAACAAAGTGAAGCATTATTGCATCTTGATTAGTATACTAGTGACAAAAATTAGTTTCTATTTGATTAAGGCTATATATTATGAATTTAGGGTGCAGTGACTAGTGAGCCTAATTATGTTTTTTAGAACTGAAAATCACTCTTACTTGAAATCCTTGGTTCACTGTCTAAAGCTTCACAATTGAGTACAATTTCACTTAAACACTGTTCCTTCCTCAAAACAACTTCATAAAGCAGTATACAAAAATGCATTGTGTTTAGCTAAAAAGATTTGGTGTTAATTCATTATAGGTTATATTCTTGACAAAGAACTTGTTGTCAACTTGTAATACGTATAATCAATAATATACTCTAAGCATGGAGATAAACTAATAATTAAATTTAAAAAATATTTATTTCCTGGTAACATTCTGAAAAAAATATTTAAAGTTATGTTCTGTATCTTATAAAATGGAATACTTGTAAAGGGAATATTGATTATAAAAAGATCTTTTGTTACATTGTAAAATCTACTTTATCATGAAACAAATAGGCCACCTACAATGAACACAAATGGATTACTTATATCTTATCTCCTTTTTCTGCTTTATTTTTCTCAGTAATACTTATCATGGTCTAAATATTTTATGGTAGCTCTTACAATGCTTCTAAGCTACTAAGTCATTTATTGTATATATTTGCCTCATGTGTTTCTCTTCACTAAGAACATAAGTTCTGAGAGGTTTATTTTCTGCTGTACCCCTTGCACTTAGAAAAGTGTCTAGCCACATGGTAGGCACTCAGAACATATTTGTTGAATGAATTATTTGTTTTAGATGTTAGAAAGAATCTTTTGGAATAATATAAATGGTCTTTCAGCTCTAGAAAGTAGAGGCATTCAGAATCATTCTGTTGACTTTGGAAATGTGCTCAAAACAAGAAGCAGTCAGTAAATATTTGATAGCTTTTCTCTTAATAAAAACTATTTTTCACAGTAAGGTTTACCTCACATTTTTCTCCTCCTTGCTCAGTTTGTTAGAAGCTAATAGTGCTCAGTATTAGTGCACAGTGATACCACTGGGAAACTCTCTCATTCTTTACTCCTACGGCCACACTAGCTTTTTTAGGCTGCCCGTAGGTTTAATAGATCTTCCAAAACATCTCATCTCTCCATCGCCTACTTGCCATGCCACCTTTCCCAAAAAAAAATTAAGTAGGAGGGATAATTTTAATACATCGAAAATGTATCCCATATGGTAACTATATTTTAATTACTATCCAAAAGTATACCATAAGAAAAGATTATTATAATTCTCTTATTATTTAATCCAGTGACGTGCTGTGGCAGAACTTCACTGGCAAGTTATAAACCGATTAGCAGATTATTAATATAAACTTAAGTAGGGAGTTTTTTGTGTCTTCCCTAGAGATACTAAGGGAAGTACTCCCCAGAGTTTCTAAAACAAAATTTTATCTATCTCTATTTGATCTGGACATGGAGCCACTAAATGAGATAGGCAACAGGTGAGGATTTCCAGGAATGAGGTGGTACGTTATAAAATGGCAAAGTCCAGTGTTAAGTATGTCTGCTGATTAGGACATATACAGTATTTTATTATTCACCTAAGCCCTTGTCATTAACCACTACCTTTCTCTAACCTTACAAAGGCTGGAAGTCAGGTTTAGGGTTTACTCACGGGCCACATGATGTAACAGGAATTGGACTAGACTCTCTCTAATTTAAAATATCCTGCAACTCTCATTTCTCCTGAGAACTTAGGGATGACCTAGCTATATTTAGAGCATGTTTTGACTTCATTATGAGAAAAACCAAAAGTGTGAATTATAATTACCATTAATTTTACTAGCGCAATTTTTCTGTGAGGTAAGGTTAAGACAAAAATGCTCTGTGAGAACGTCACATGATGGGTTATAACCAAGGAAACAGAGAACAATAGAAAACTTTGTGGCGGAATAGCAGATGAGGGGATTTGCCAGTGATCATAAAGTTACGGCCCTTCTTTGTTGCTACGTCGCAAATTTCTCGCTGCGAGAGACCTGTAGTCAGTGAGGTTGTAAATAATCCAGTGGATTTTCTAGGAATCATGCACCTAGAAAATGTACAAGTTCTCTCTCTCTCTCTCTTTTTTCCAAAGCTCCGTTGCCAGAGCTAGAGTGCAGTGGTGTCATCACAGCTCCCTGCAACCTCAAACTCCTGGGCTCAAGTGATCCTCCCACCTCAGCCTCCCAAATAGCTGGGCTACAGGCTCGCACCACCATGCCTGGCTAATTTTTACATTTTTTGTAGGGGTCACACTATGTTTCTCAGGCTGGTCCCAAACTGCTGGGCTCAAGCAATCCTCCCACCTCATTCTCCCAAAGTCCTGGGATTATAGGTGTGAACCACCTTGCCTGCCCTCAAGTTCTTAGAAAGGAGTATTTCTTAGTGCATATTGTTTCTTCTTTTTTTGGTACATATTATTTCTTGATTTATCTCCCACTTATGGAGATTGACAAACAAGTACATGAATAAATAAAATAATCAAATTTCAAGTATTGTTATGTGCTATTAAGAAAGCAAGGTAAGCTTGAGAGTAATTAGTAGGGATGGGTGCTTATTTTAGGGTGGTGAGGGAAGGCCTCAGAGAAGGTGACTTGCACCCTGACATGGGGACATGCAGGTGCATGGAAAGGTCTGGAGGAGTAAGTGTTTAAGGAAGATAAGATATATATATTTTTTTAAATAAAAGAAAAAAAATTCATTCACCTCTTTTTTTTTTTTTTTTGCCCCAAACGTGTTCACAGGAAAAGGGAGATAAGATATAAATAGCAATTGTAAAGGCCCTGGGGTAGGGACATACCAGCATGTTTGAAGAACGGTGGTTTTCTCTTCATCCCACTCTTCAAGCTTTCAGTCCTACCTACTGCACCAACATGCCTTTTGTCAAGGTTGCCAAAAGTGCCCATCTTTCCAAATCTAATGGAACATTCTCAGTCCTCATCTTTCCTTTTAGCAGCATTGGATGTATTTAAATACATTCAGCTTCTTGAAATGCTTCTTCCTTTAGTTTGCTACTACCCCCTGCCCCCGACTAGTTTTCTTCACTGCTCCTTCTCTATTGCTGGATTCTCTTTTACTTTTGGACCTCTCAATGTTGGGGTACCCCAGGGCTTAAACCTTAGCCCTGCTTTTAATCTGAGTAGATCAGATTCCATTTTTGTAAATGCCATCCACACATCAAGGTTCACAAATTTGAATCTCTAACCTTGATCCCTTCCCTGAACTCCAGGCCTCTGCATCCAAATGATTTTCTTTATAGTTTCCCCAAATATATATGTTTTACCTTGCTCCAGTCACCACCAGTAGAAACAGCCTCTTTCAAGGCCGATCCAAATGTCACAGTTTACATAAAGCCTTACCTGGTAACCTATCGATAGTCCTTGAATGGAGTTTAGAGATCAATTCAGAGCAGAAAACAGAGGATTTTTTGTTTGTTTTAAACTTTTGCTGGCATTAAATTATTTATTTATTTTACTTTTTTTTTTTTTTTTTTTTTAAGAAACGAGGCCCCACTATGTTGCCCAGACTGGACTAGAACTCCTGGGCTCAAGTGATCCACCTCAGCCTCCTAAGTAGCTGTGACTATAAGCACATCCCACTACACCTGGCTGGAGTTTTATATTGCATCATTAAAAGAAATTTTTTTCTGGGAGATGTCTAGTGAAATTGATAAAAAGAAACTCCTTATATTAAATGACCAAAACTGTTCTGTTAAAAAAAAAAAAGTGCTAAGGCTGGGAATGGGCAAAATGATAAGGTGAGGCTGTTCAGTTAACTGAATTATATTCACGAACAAGCTGCAAATAAAGAAGGAATTGGAGAACAAAAGGGCAAGTATAACCAAGACAATCCTGAAGAACAACAAAAAGTACAAGAACTTGCCTTACCAGATATTAAGACTATAAAGCTTTAATTATTAAGATGGTATAGTATTGCTTTATCTTCCCTTCTTCTTTCCTTTCTGCACAATTCAGTCCTGAGGCCACAGGTAGGGCCAAGCAAGGTTAGGCTCTGCAGGGTGAGGCAGGAGTGGGGCTGGTATCACAACCAAGCGAGATTAGGAGGGTATCCATGAGGGGATGTCCTGGTGTAGAAAGTCAGAGCCCCAGCAGTGTGAAGGACATCCCTGCAGAGGGGCAGCCTGGCTTGAGGGGCATCATATTCTAAACAGGGTGATGGGACCCTCCCCAGGGAGAGGTGCCAGGCATAGGGTGTCGACCTGAGCAGATGAGGAAGGTAGCATCTGTGTGTATGTGGGGAGTGGGGAGGTTGGAATGAAGGAGAAAGAAGATGCATAGGAAGAGAAGGGCATTGGTAGGGGGTTGTAGTGGCAGAGAGGAGAGACCATAAGAGACTTCAGCCCTGGAAGTCAAGGGCCAAGAGAGTTCTAGAATGGAAGGAGTTGTCAGCAGGGTTAGATGGTATAGAGAAAAGAGTAGAATGAGGATTAAATTTGTACATTTGTAGGTATAGATTTGAGTTGTTAGAGTTGTAGGGCCAATAACAGGAGTGAATGTGCATTATAAAAGGAGGAAGTATCAAGTACAGACTACTTAAGAAAGGTGGTGGTGGGAGGAGAGAAAAAGGATAACCTGAAGTGGAGATTGGCAAGGTAGAGTTACTTCTAGAATGGGAGAGACTAGGTTGTTTGTGTGCTCAGAAGAGAATTGAATAGAAAGAAAAACTGAAGACAAGAAAGTGAAGAAAGATAATTGATACATCAGAATCCTAGAAGATGGGCAGGAGGAAAGGAATC